GACGGCTTGTTATAGTAACAGTCACATGGCTGGCAACTATTGTTAGCTTGTGTTAGTCACAGGGGATTCTGGGCAGCCTGCCTCATGATTCTGCTTGACCCTCATTGCATAGGCTAATGCCAGTTGAAAGATTCAATGCTATAATGTGTCTCACAATAAACTGAGGGCCTTTCCTCACTCAACAAATCTTGTAGTCTGTGGCTAAAGGTGAGAATATTGTGCAGGAGCATCAGGGAACATACTGAAGTACCAAAGGAACAGCTCAAGGTCAAGTGATAAGATTCCTTACTGTCCTGAAAAGTGCTTTTTCCATTTGTTCTCGTTAAAAACCATAAGCTCTACATGGCATTTACAATTATGTGCTGTAAAATGCTCGTGATAATAAGGTCAATCTGAATGAGCAGAGATTTCATATGTTTGGTATTTCTTGCAACATCACAATTTGGGTCAAATGCACTACTGGGAAATGAAATGACACATGAGAGAACACTGTTTTTTGCTCTCCAAACAAGAGCAAACACTTGCTACATTTTCCGGAAAAAAATTGGCCTTTTGAAATTTCTTGAAAAAAAGGCCAGTTGCTCAACAGTTGTGACTGTTGATGTGCTCACTTCTCTTTAAATCAATTACTCTCACTCAATCAACAAAGAGCAACATGAGGCTGCTGAGGTTCCGTCCTCTTTTTGTATAATGTCTGACTTATAATAATAATAATAATCCTTGCATTTGATATAGCGCTTTTCACGTCGGGAGGACGTCCCAAAGCGCTTCACAGAATATACTGTAAAGTGAATTGACTGTATATTTGTGGGCGAACGCGGCAGCCAATTGCACACAGCAATGTCCCACAAACAGTCATAGATAGAAAATGACCAATTTATTATTGTTTTTGGTTTTGGAGGGATTATTATTAGGCTCTGTGTGGAGTAAGGAAACTTGCCCAAGGTTTCGCCCTGTGCCTGGAATTGAACTCAGGTCTCTCGCTTGCAAAGCGAGTGCTCTAACCACTGAGCTACAGGGACTTGGACTTGAATGTGACTAAGGGATAACAACATCACTGTCAACCCTTTCCAGGCTCATTAATCATGGCTCCTCCCTCCCCGTCATACCTTGCATGCTGCTTGCAGCCCTAATATAAGAATAAATTGGAGGATTTAGGAACAGGAAACATATGTGGCCTTTTTGCAATACTGCTCTTCCCCTTCCCTTTGGTGTATTATATTACATATAAACTTTAGTCAGATATCTGAGCAAGTCCCGGAGAATGAATTTCCTGCTGCTATATGCCTTTTATGAGCACAGATAGGAGAGAGGATCCCTCTGGGAAGCTATGGATATGTAGAAAATATAAGCTTGATAACTGCAATTAATATTTGCCATTCTAAAGAGTATGTTCTAAGCCGCAGAGTGACTTATGAATCTATGAAATTGTACATCCAGCCATCTTAAATGTGACCAGGTCAATTCATGTTATTATCAGGGTGCGATAATTACAAAGAGCAACAACAGCTTTCGTTTACATACTACCGTTCATACATGATACAGGCAGGAAATGCTATTCATTTTATTATCCCCCAGGCAGCTGGGCTTTGCAAGTATCAACAAAGGATAATAATTATAATAAACCTTGTATTTGATAGAATGCCTTTCACATCAGGAAGACATCTTAAAGAGCTTCACAGGACACACTATAAAGTGTAATGACTGTGTATTTTGTAGGAAAACATGGTTGCCAGTTTGCCACAACAATGTCTCACAAACAGCCTTGAAGTGAATGACCAATTTTACTTGGGGGACTGTTGGCCGGGACACAGGGAGAAACTCTCTTCACTTTTTGAATAATAATAATCCTTGCATCTGATATGGTGCCTTATCGAGTCGTTGAGATGTCTCAAAGTGCTTCACAGAATATACTGTAAAGTGGATTGACTGTGTATGTTGTGGGCGAAATGTGGCATGCATAGATGGATAGATAAATAAATAAATGCACACATAAATGTCCCATAAACAGTCTTGGATTAATTAACCAAATTTTTGATTTTGGTGGGATTACAACTCCAGGAAAGCAATCTGCCAATTGAATAACAACCGGGTTCCTAGTTACTGCTACGTAAACAGATGCATGTGGTGTCAGGAAACTTGCCTAAGGTTTCACCCTGCCGGGAATCGAACCAAGGCCCCCTAACTGCCTTGGGATCCTTAACGTCCACCTGAATAGGCAGATGGGACCTAGGTTTAACATCTCATCTGAAAGACGGCATCTCCAACAAAGAAGCACACCTCCAGCACTGCACTGAAGTGTCAGCCTGAACCGGAGTTCAAAATCCAAACATGAAACACAGCCTTCTGACTCAGGGGCAAAGTGTTACCAACTGAGTGACAATGACACCTTAGTTTAACTAACACAAGTAGATTTTTCAGCCCATTCGACCTGCTCTGCCATTTTCTTAGATAATGAATGATCTGCAATTCTGTACCGATGCTCAGATGTCTTATTTATCAGGTTGCCCTCATTAAATAAGAGCCACAGGCACTAACCAATACTTATTAATCAACTTGTCACATTGCAGCCCACCTCCTTCACATCTGTTGAAATCTTTACCACAGATAATGGTAAATTATCTTCACCACAGATAATTATTTGGGGAGGACAGGTTTGCAGGGCTATGGCGAGAGAGTGGAGGAATGGGATTGAACCGGATAGCTCTTTTCAAAGAGCCTGCACAGAAACGATGGGTTGAATGGCTTCCTTCTGTGCTGTATAATTCTATGATTCTATGAAAGGGTCACTGTATTACTTTTGATATTTGCTCCTTTAATGAACCACTGATCCAAAGCCCAATGACGCCACCTATTCTTGCTCTTTTCTCCATTTCCTCTTGATACCCTTCCTTCACACTTGCTTATCTAATTCCATTTTAAATTCCCCCCAACAAGAAAAATCTGTTTCAAGAGTCTCCTCCAGGCAAATCATTCAATCTTTCAATAAACCTCTGGGGCAATAAAAAAAATCTTCCCAACTTCTCCTTTTGTTCTCCTGTCATCTGGATGCATACAATTAAAATACTCCATATATAGTCCTCAATTGACCCACAAATCCCACACTTTAACATCTGTATTAGAGGGTTTTTCATTCAAGAAGTCAAAACTTCAACTTGACTGTCAGGGGTTAACAGCGATGGGCTCCTGACTCCCACTCACTTGTAAATTAATTGCACAGAACAAATGGACCAAGCCCTGTGGATGGTTTCAATACACCATACCTGCTAACTCTACAGGTTTTCCATGTAGGCTCAACAGTCCACAGAGAGCAGGGATCGCATGTTTTTTTTAAAATGTGGCTCTATTTATGCCCAGGGCTAAACCAGTCAGTATCAAGATGTTGGCATCACATAGTCTGGCAGGAGTTTGAAAGGTGGATTTGTAGCAGGAGGAATGGATTTTTAGAGCGCATAACTTCACGATTTTTTTTCCTGGACCCAGTTCAGCTAATTCTGAATTCCAAATATTTGGGATCTGGATAGCTGGGAGGGGGAGGGGGTGATTACTGAACTTCAATTGGCAATGCAAACATCTAAGAAAAGAAAATATGAGCAGAATTTTCAAGACAGAATGGTGAACACATTTCCAGACATGCATAAACGTAGAGCTTATGATTATGTTTTTTGTGCTGTTTGCAGAAAGCATGTTTCAATAGCAAAGGGTAGTAAAAAGGATCTTGAGGATCATATTCTAACAAAGGTCCATATGAAAAATATAATCACATGGTTTTCGTGTACATTTCAGTAAAGAATTGTATAACACCTGTTGCTTAGTTATAATAGGTTTTTAGTCACAAAAAATGGTTGAAATATATGCTACAGAATATTTTCTTTTTAATTTTGAGTTATTTTAGAGGGAGACACTAAACAAGGTTAAAATTTATGCCACTAAAAGTCTTTGTGGAGTCCTGTAGCTCAGTGGTTAGAGCACTCGCTTTGTAAGCGAGACACCTGAGTTCAATTCCAGGCAGAGGGCGAAACCTTGGGCAAGTTTCCTTACTCCACACGCCTAATAATAATCCCTTCAAAACCCAAAACAATAATAAATTGGTCATTTTCAATCTACGACTGTTTGTGGGACATTGCTGTGCGCAATTGGCTGCCGCGTTCGCCCACAAATATACAGTCAATTCACTTTACAGTGTGTTCTGTGAAGCGCTTTGGGACGTCCTCCCGACGTGAAAAGCGCTATATCAAATGCAAGGATTATTATTATTATTATTATAGTGCTTCTTTTCTGCTGCAAGTTGGCAGGTCAGATATACACAGATTAGGATACTGGAAGGAAATACACTTATGATTATTGTAAATATGGAAAGAGGGAAAAATAATATACTATTGATAAACCTTGCGTTTGATATTGCGCCTTTCATGTTGGGAGGACATCTTAAAGTGCTTCACAGGATTCACTGTTAAGTGTAGTGACTGTGACCTTTCCAGGTGAATATGGCAGCTAAGTTGCAGACAGTAATGTCCCACAAACAGCCATGAAGTGAGTGACCATTTTATTTGGGGGACTGTTGGCCAGAACACCGGGAGAAACTCTTCTCTTTTTGAGCAGTGTCATGGGATCTTTAATGTCATAGTGAATGGGCAACCAGGACCTCGACAGTTCCAACAATTCAGCTCATTCTCAGCACAGCATTGGAGCATCAGCCTAGATGTAAACCAGGAGTTTGCAAGGTAAATTATGTGCAGCAGCCTGAAACCCAAATTCCTCTGCACTGTAAAATAACTTATACTTTGGCATATGTTGGCAGTGAAAATTATTTTTTGCTTAATGCCAGTTAATATAGTAATTACAACCTGTGGAGTCCTGTAGCTCAAAACACAAAATACTGCAGATGCTGGAATCTGAAATAAAAGAGAGAGAGCTGGGAAAACTCAGTAGGTCAGACAGCATCTATGAAGAAAGGAAAGTGAGTCAACGTTTCGGGTCCACAGCCCTTAGTCAGATCGCAGTCCTGTAGCTCAGTGGTTAGAGCACTCGCTTTTCAAGTGAGAGACCTGGGTTCGATTCCTGGCAGGTTGAAACCTTGGGCAAGTTTCCTTACTCCACAAGCCTGATAATAATCCCTCAAGAAAAACATAATAATAAATTAATCACTTCAATCCACGACACGCTATAAATTTCAAGGGGCCACTGCTCGAAACATTGGCTTAATCTATGTCAATAATATTAAAATGTTTGTTTGATATTAATCAAGTAACTTGCTTCAACTCTCTGATAGCTGAACACTTTTTGGGATTGACTGGAATAGGCAAAATCTACACAACTAGTCTGAGGAGCGTGACGTACCCTCAGTTTCCTCAACATTATCCTCATTTTCTATATCTATTATTTGATCCATAGAAGTTAATAACAACAACTCTTCTGTTTGATAATAGCATCTTTCAAATCAGGAGGACATCTCAAAGAGCTTCACAAGATTTTACTATAAAGTGTAATAACTGTTCTGTAGGCAAACAAGGCAGCCAATTTGTACTCACAGGCAGCAATGAAGTGAATGACCAATTTTGATCTGGGAGATTGCTGGCCACTACACTGGGGAAAACTTCCTTCTCTTTTTGAATAGTGTCATGGGATCTTTACCGTTCACATGAACAGGCAGACGGGACCTTGGTTTAATATCTCATCCGAAGGATAGCACTTCCAACAAAGAAGCACTGCAATAACACTGCATTTGAGTGTCTAAATGAGTTAAAAGTTCCACAGCCTTCTGACTCAAAGGCGAGAATGATACTCACAAAATAGAATTTTCCAGATTAGTTAGAGCAAGGAACTATGAAAGGTTACAACTGAATTTTAATCCTATTAGTGAAAGAGTGGCTGCCTGCTGGTTACAATTTTGCCTGCAGTATAACTTGTGGTTTCCTCTCAAAGGTTTACACACAGAATTGATTCAATATAAGGGCAGTAACAGAAATATTTTTTGTAAAACGTCCTACCAACAAAAATATTCAGCTTAAAGTACAACAGTTAGATTTAACACCATAAATGTTGGGTGGAAGGAAGCAGTCAGTAAAATATCAACAGAATCTCAGTTACACAGAGGAAAAGGCTAGTTTTGGGTAATCTGTCTTAAGATGTGTCCTTCTGGTGAAAGGCGCTATATTAATGTAATTTTTGTTTGATGTTGGTGTTAAGCACAGCCAACGTCAGCCAAAATCTAACACTTGATGGCTTGTAGTAGAGCTGAATTAACTTTTTAGTGCTGCTATTTTTAGAATATTTGGAGTACATGTTATTATTATAATCTTGTTTAAGTAGTAAAAAACAAGGAGTCAAATTTCTCAAAGGTGAACTCTTACAAACAGCTTTACAGCTAGCTAGCAGGAGATGTGCAAGAGTTGACATGGGATGACACCAATCTTCAATTTCTTCCTGTGAAAAAGTGCCTGACCTCTCTGTGACTGCATGGTTTAGACTGGAGACTCACTGGGAGGGTGCAAAACCACATGTGTGATATGTCGAAACTCTAGCTACTGTGCCATTCAACCTAAACTTCTAATTTCACCAAGTTAGCAACAATATTATCTGATATCGAATAGTTGACCAATTGACCAGGCTTCACCCCAAACCTGCAACCAGACCAGCTGTATTTGAAGTGAAATGCTCAGGATCATTCAAGGGTAAATAAATAATAATCCTTGCATTTGATATAGCGCTTTATCATGCTTTCACTTCTCAAAGTGCTTCCCAGAATATACTGCAAAGTGAATTGACTGTATATTTTGTGGGCGAAACGCGGCAGCCAATTGCACACAGCAATGTCCTACAAGGTTTGAGTGACCAATTTATTATTATTATTTTTAATCATGAGGGTAAGCATCCTGTAAGGTAATGGTGCTCCCGAAATCCTGGTATTGCAACCTCTACTCGTCATCTCACCATTAGCTATTGGGAGAAATAATATAAATTGGAAAAACATTCATATCAGTGATATTGTACTGGACAAAGAGAGCACAAGATACAAGGTTGACTTCTGCTGATAATTTCTCTTCAATTACTATCACCAGTAAAATGAGAAAATTGGAACTAATGAACTAGATTACTGACATATTCAGATGTGTTCCCCTCTTTACCAAGGATGTTATTACCGCAAACTAGTTTGCGTAAGGCTCCGCCACTGTTAATAATAATAAAAATAATTCTTGCATTTGATATAGTGCTTTTCACGTCTTCTAGACGTCTTAAAGCGCTTCACAGAATATACTGTAAAGTGAATTGACCGTATATTTGTGGGTGAAACACGGCAGCCAATTGCGCACAGCAGTGTCCCACAAACAGTCGTGGATTAAAAATGACCAATTTATTATTTTTTTTTGGAGGGATTATTATTAGGCGTGTGGAGTTATGTGGCGTGTGGAGTTAAGCGCTCTGAGACGGAAGGCGAACTAGATGGTCTTCTTTCACCTAGCAAATTCTTATTGCAATCTCTCCGAGATGCTGTCCGATCTGAAGGACGCTATATAAATACAAGTTGTTTTTCTGACCTAAGCTTGACTCCCCTCTCTTCCAATCTCCATTCTGTGGTAAAGAATGGCAGGGAAAATTGGGGACAAACAATCCACAGGTCACACAGTTCACCCACTGCTGACAGGCAGGACCAGTCAGCAGTTTATCTGGGATGATTCAGCAGCACTCACAGCAACACTGAAGGGCCTCAAACCCATGGAAGTCCTTCACCTTCCAATAAGTTTTTTTTAAAAAAAATACAGCTTACAACAAGCAGCTCATCTGCTAAATGTTTACCGCACAGTGAGGAGCTTGTTATCCACAATAAATAGGAAACAGCTCCATTATGGATATAAAAAAAAGCACGGATAATTGGACATCACACAAAATATAAATTGGTTATAGGACTAACAAAAAACCCTTCCACCAGAAGTTATACTGTCACTATAGTTCCTCATTGGGCCAGACCTTCTCCCTTTCTTTGACCTACTCTTTTTCCCCTGATTTTCTTTCTCTCTAACTTTCTCTCCCTCTCCCCAACTTTCATTTATCTACCGATCTCTGATTTTCTCTTTCTTTCCCCACAGATGCAGCAGATAGCTAAATACCATATTGTTGAATATAACAGGTTTTTGCCCTAAAACAGCTTAAAAATTGCTGCTCACCTTATATTTACTTGACTAATAATAATAATCCTTGCATTTGATAGTGTATTATCAAGTTGAGATGTCTCAAAGCTCTTCACAGGATATACTGTAAAGTTAAATGACTATATTTTGTGGGCGAATTGCATAATGTACCACAAACAGCCATGGAATGTGTGACCAATTTTATTTGGAGGATTGTTGGCCAGTAGACCAGGAGGAACTCCTTTCTCATTTCAAATAGTGCCGTGGGTCTTTAATGTCCATGAGTCATTAACCACAACATATAAATTGATTTAACATCTCATATGAGGGACATAAGGATTATACAAAATGTGAGATACCATCAAACGAAATCCAGTTGCAAAACTGAACACAAAGTCATGAGACATAGAATTTCCTTGCACAGTGCAAGTTAATTGCAATCCTAGTAACATTATACATTGCACAATACGCACACATGTGCACAACTGGAATTTCTTGCTCATAATCAGAAAGTAGGTGTTAAGTGAGAAAGTTGTAGAGCGACAAAGCAACAGAAAAATTAAGTGTTACAATTAAGTTAGTTAGACAAGAGTCAAAGCGAGAGAGAGAAAAAGAGAGGAAGTCAGAAAGTGATAGAAAATTAGAGAAAAGAAAGAAGAAAAAGGGATCATTATTTGATTATGATCATCCCAGTGTGGGCAATTGTTGAGAAGAAGCAACCAACTCCTCTGGAGAAGGCAAAAGTCTATACAATAGATTTTACTAAGAATCCTTCATACTAGTGGAGTACATCCTAAGTATATACAATATATTCACCAATGGATCATTTTTCACATTTCTGCCAAGCAGTGTTAAAACCTGATTGTTTCCTAATCACATTAAACAACTTGATAAACTAAAGGAGTATAAAAGTCGCTAATCTCATAATCATAGAGAAGAAAGCCTGCATGAAGTAACTTAAAAACACTAAAGGCTGAAATTATTCATATTCCAAATTAAGACTGAAATCGTTTTTTTTGCTAAAATTCTGCACTACATCTTACATTTTAAACCTGGGGTCCTAAGGTTAAACCCAAGTGAATTTCAAGCCTCTGGCATTTGTGTAGCCTGGATATTGAAATCAACTTCTCTAGTATTACCACAAGATCCCCCTCTAAATTTCACTGCTCAAATTTAATCTCAGTCTTTGTATCACATATCCACTCGTATAAGAAAAGAATGCAGTTATCAAACTTTAAATTTTAATTGCTGTGTATTTGCTCAATTGACCCCATCTAAATCCTTTTCAAAATGTTTTGCTGCATTCTCCAGCTCTACTGATTCTCTTATCTGTGTGCCATCAGTAAATGGAACCAGTGTTATAATTGCTTTCAGAATCCATGATGTTTATGTACATACGAATCAATGAGGATTGAAGCATTCAAGATAGTTCATCTCTGGCCCAAACTTCCTCTATTCTGAAATTATTTCTCCATTTCCCTTTTTTTAAAAATCAGTTCATTTTCTACCATGCAGTCTTTTATTGGGAGTAAATAAAACTACAGTCTATTCAGGTGGTAGATTGCAAAGGACAGGGAGTACTGACCAACCATGTATCTGCATGAGTAGCAGTCTAAAGGTTACACTGCATTGTGTAAAAAAAACCTGTAGACTGAGAATTCTATATTGTGGACAGGGATCAGTTCCAAGAAGTACACCTGTTCCTGAGACTGGCATCGAAGGGTGTCACCTTGACCTGTATGGATGGTACAATCTGGAATCAGATTTTTTTTGGTCAGCTGGGTGTCTGATACATGCGGAAACCCATCACCATGCTTAAGAGTATCCAAACCAAATTGAGATTTCCATGCACACCACCTACACATGGAAATCCCAGAGATAGATTGTTGGAATGAAATGTGCACTTTCTCCCTGGAGGGACAGTATGCTGCTTACCTAACCCTATAAGATAGTAGGTGCAGGATGGCAGGAGCCAAGGCATGGGGATACCAGAGTATGTGTTGGGGTACTGCTGGAGTCTAACCAGCTAAAACCGCATAGCTTGCCTTTGATAGCACTGTCTGACAAGCTTTCTCGCTAAACTCTAAGCTCACAATTGCCTGCTGTAGGACATTGTTGGACACTAGGACACTTCACACAAGCTAGCCTCATCACTTCTCTGAGTTAAGATATCTAATATTACATCTCATTACTCAGGACCAACTTTGTTTCCACTGAGCAATGCCAAGCCACAATGAGTGTTGGAACGTTTCAACTGTAGCCTAAATAAAACGTAATCCAGAGATCTCATTGCTTAGCCAATGAATAACAATTCCCCAATCTCTCAGAAAACCTACGGATGCTCAAGAGTGGGGCAGGAGCTTGTATACTTACTGTGACGGACATAGCTAAGCAGGTGAAGGTAAACCTCTTGATATGCGATTTATTGATGATGTGTCCGAGTTTATTGCTGGAATTGTTCTATGACAGATAAAGAAGAATATGATCAGTTGCCATTTAATGTTATATTAAAGTAACTATTGGTTGTGTTTTAGGGTAACAAATTTGCACTGTTGGTATATTGGAGCTTTGGAAAGAGCAAAAGCAATTTTGATTTTAAGTGGGCTTCACAGTGTTAGAGAAAAATGGGATCTTCCACTTGTCCCGAGAGGCGCTGGCTCAGAAAACCTTATTTTCCCACTTCAATGTTGTCAAAGTGTTAAGGTGAGTAATGTTATTTCTGGAGAATGAGACTTTCCCATTGCAATGGGGATCTCAGCACTCAGCTTTAGCATGGGATAAAAAGAGAGTGCAGATCCCTCTGCTCAGCAAAGTAGTTCATTTCCTCTCACCATCAGGGCCAGTACCACATTTCCATCAGCTGAATAAGCAGCAAGAAGCTTACCAGTGCCTCGTACTAAGTTATACAATTTTAGCTGGTTCCCTTCCATCAGTTCCCAATGTGCACTTCGGAGTCCCAAACCCTGGGGTTCTACGTTCCACTGTTCTTTGGACGTAGGGGAGCAGGTTTCACCTTTCCCAGGGTACAGATTGCACACTCCAAAACTGACAGACACAAGCTCTGCTTTGGTGGACAATCAGCAGCTGCAACTGGAGGCACACGTTTCCGCCGGCTCAAATACACTTCTCCCCTCCCCGCCCCGCTGAGCCATCGGGGAGAGTCAGGGACGTCAATTAATCAGAATGATGTTGTGGACAAGTGGAATGGATCATTTTTTGAACAGGAAGGGCAGTGAGTACAGATATTATCTGAATGGGAAGGTGAGCGATCTGCACAATTGTAGTTACATCTGTTGGTAATCATTTGCATAATCTACTTCTGGAGATGTCACCCTGTGTACGTGTGTTTTTAAATGTTTTATAGAATTAACTCCTGCATGTGCATGGCATTACCTTGTCAAATGCAGGATAAACAGCTCGGAGCTCAGTCAGCCACCCGTAAGGCATATGACCCACTGGGTATGTTGCTGTCAGAACTGCAACAGCCTTAAAGTAAAGGAAATAGAAAGAAAATATTAAACCACAAATGCCTGCGAGTACTATTTTCCCACATCAACAGACCAGCAAATCAGACTACGACCAACCAGCATTTACATAAAACAAACAAGACTTCATCATTACTCTGCTCAAGGCATTTGCAAGGTAAATGTCAGAACAGCTGTGGTTTCTAAATACTGTACTCAGAAAGAAGTCAGACTAATTCTTGTTCTAGTCATCAGCTGAGGTGACAGCTCTGGCTGTTTATTCCGAATTATGAATCTAGCCTTTGGGTCAACTGTTACTAAATAGACAATGAGTCATCGTATCTGGATGAGAAGATGTTTTTTTCCTGAAAAAGTGGTTGTGTTTTATTTGGGGGAAGGAGCAAATTATAATCTTGCTATTCTAGAAAGTAGTGAAATCAAAGACCTGGTAAATCTCAAATCAGCAACAATAAAAACAACAACTTGCATTTATATAGTGCCCTTCACGCGGGATAGCATCCCGGAGCTCTTCTGGGTCAATTTATTTGGATTTTAGGAAAGCATTTCATGAAGTTCCACATGTAAGACTTTCTGTGACTAACTCACCTCTGTGGCTGTGGGACTGCCCCCCAAGTCACGAGACACAAACAAATTGACTATGGGCCTGCTGATCCGCTGAGTGGCTAGGATCAGAGCTAGAGGCCACCAGAAAGCCAGCATCTTCTTTATTGTAGCTTCTCCCTGGAATGCGAAAAGAACATAGTTCGATTTCTATATCGAGTCAGAATTGTGGTTTATTGGTGGAGCACAGACCATCCAACACATCCCTGGAGAGACACATTCTGCTTACTTAATTCTGGAAAGTTTTAGGGCAGATTGGGGACCCAAGAATGTACACTGGGGTACTGCTGAAGTCTAAGCAGCTAGAAGCGCATAGCTTGTCACTGATATTGATGCTAGCAAGCTTTCCTGCTGTTCAGCTAGGTCCACCTTACCTGTTAGGGCTATGGCTCACAGGCTTAACAGGAGATGGGTGGGAAGAATCTGTGCCCCCAGTGACTGGTCTGCTTTCCACGTCCTGCTGATAAGATGTCAGATTTGTTATCAGCAATGCCCTAGAGTACTGTGGACCCACCTGACTCAGGAACTGGACTACTATATACTAATCTTTGCATTTGATATAGCGCCTTATCATGTCTTCGAGATGTCTCAAAGCACTTCACAGAATATAATGTAAAGTGAAGTGACTGTATATTTTGTAGGTGAAACGGGGCAGCCAATTGTATGCAGCAATGTCCCACAAACAGTTGTGGATTGAGTGATCAAATTATTATTATTTTTATTTATTTATTGATGGGATTATTACCCCCAGAAAAGTGATCCGCCAATCAACTAACAACCAGGTTCCTACTTACTGTTAGGTGAACAGAGTATGGGTAAGGAAAGTTGCCTGATGTTTCACCCTGCCTGTGAATCGAACTCAGGTCCTCTCGCTTGAGAGGTGAGTGCTCTAACCACTAAGCTATAGGACTCCACAATAGAGCATTGTGGGACCACCATAGAAGATTGATACGATTAAGACATTTCTAACCTCCAAGATGCTTAAATATTTGATGTAGTTGAATACTTACCCCCATTTCAGGTCCACTTCTCTCCGGAATTACATCATGTACATTTTTGTAGTAGCCAAGGCCCAGCATGGTAAAACGGACCATTACACCCATATACAAGGACAGGATTGGGATCAGGAGAGGTTCTGTGCACTCCAAATGACTGTGAAGCAAGATAGACACAAATACAATCTAGAAGGAAAATAAACGAGATTAAATGTCATTTTCTAATTTGCAAACAAATCAACAGCACAAATTAATATGTACATAGGAGGTAAAAAAATAGTACAAACAACCCAACATCTTTCCTGAATACATTTTAGCTGCCAGTGTCAATGTCTAGCATTGCTACGATAGATGAAGCAGCACATGCTGGATGCAGAATAATGCTCCCTCTGCTCCACCATTGTGCCTCACCTTTCAACCTCAAAGCATATCCCTTTATGGCACCAGCATGAAAATTTTCCACTCTGTTATTGCTTCTGCCTATTTAATGCTCATTTTGTAAACATTGGGCTGTTTTGTGATGTTCTCTCACAACTGCTAGGAACTGGGTTCAAAGTGCCCAGATCCAAGGAGTGAATGGAGAGTTCCTTACATCCTTAAATGTAATTATAGTTCACTTTATTTGTACATTTTGATGGCAAACTTTCAGGTTCAACTTGGGAGACCACCATTAAGATGGAAACACAGACTTGAAGCAGAAAATCATACAAGTTGCAGAAGTTTATATTCAAGACTTATTGTGCAATAAGAGTATTTGATCAGAAATGCTACACAACGAAAAGTAATAAGAAAGTAAAATTCTGCACTTATTTTAGAATCTTTTCCTGATTCTACTGAATAAAACATTTTGCATTAAGTATTTATTTCCTATATGTGTACATAAACCCATCTCTCCAGCATCTGCAGGGATTATTGCATTGTGCAATAGGCGCAAGTTTGATTTGGATACAAGCAAAAGGGGTTTGAAAAAAAACTTTCATTTGCATTTTGGGTTCCTTTTGTTTTGTGTTGTATTCAGAATTTTAAATGGTGCCACACGTTGTGTGCATCAGGGGCTCAATACAGATGTGTGAATATAAAATGTTAACATGGTGCAGAATTTATTAAAAACTGCAATTTAATTTTCATACTAGGTGTTTTTGCTTTAGTGGGAAATAATGGCCGAATCGCCTGAAGTTTTTATGGAAAATCCTTAGAATGCATGGGAAAAGCTGGATCATCATCTGGGAGTGCTGATAACCCACCCTGCAGTTTTTTTTACTGCCCTCCTTACAAGCACAACCCCATTGCTATCCTACCTGAGTAATGACATCGGAGACAGAAGCACAGCCCACCAGTAAACTGTATTTGTGCTTTAGCAGAATGCCTGCGTGAGTCCAGGCCTAAAAAGCAGTTAAAAACAATTCATTGGGGATGACATTTCCATTCAACACTAGGAACACGCACAACAAGTTTCAAGAGAAGAAAAAAGCAACCAATTTCTGCACAATTTACATTTCTATACTGCCTTTCACATCAGACGACATCTCAAAGTTCTATGATAAACCTAGATGGGCACCCAAGCCGGTGGGGTCGGAGCAGAAGAGGGTGGAGAGGGGAAAAATGACTGAAAGCATGATCAAAGAGGCATATTTTGGGACCTACACTGAACAACGGCAGAGAAGGACTCCAGAATGCAGTTCCAGAGAGTGGAGGCAGAATGGTTGAAAGCGAACCTGCTGATGGTGGGTGGATATAGCGGGCAGGGGTACATGAAGCATATATTCAAACTGTTTTGAAATCAGTGAGATTGTAACTCTTCCCCTCAAGGAAGTCAACAAAAAGATTTGCTATGCATGATGTTATTCTGCACAGAGCTAAAAAAAAGCCAACTGATAAAACACAAAAGGTTTACAGCACAGAAAGAAGCCATTCAACCCAACATGCCTAGGCTGGTCCTAGCTCCCCTACTGGAGCCACCAACTCTAATCCCATTCACCTTTATTTTTGCCTCAGTTGAAAACCAGCAGCCACCTTTGAAGCTATGAGTTTCAATATTACAACCTAATAAGGCATCAATGCATTTAAGAGGAAACTCAGTGGAAATATGAGAGAGAGGAATAGAGGTGTATGGGGGCGGGGGGGCAGGGATTAGGATGGGCGGAGGCTCATGCGAAAATATAAAAATTGACACACACTGAATAGGCCAAATGTTCCATTGCTATAGACTATATAGGTAAATAACCCATTTTAACTCGGAAGAAACTAGAACAACATTGAAAGATGGGGCGAGGTCAAAACATCTTCATATACATTAATTATCAAGGTCATATAAATTGTCTGCAACATACACCAGTTTGCATGTGTATTGCTCAGAATACAATAAGATAAGAATTGTTTTTGAATTTTCTTAAAAAAAACAAATTAGTCACTCAATCCACGACTGGTTGTGGGACACTGCTGTGTGCTATTGGCTGCCGCATTTCGTCCACAAAACATGTACAAAACAGTTGACTCGCTTTACAGTATATTCTGTGAAGCGCTTTGAGACGTCTCGAAGAAGTCATAAGGCGCTATATCAAATGCAAGGATTATTTTTATTATAACCCTTCTTTTTAATGGAATATGTCACCCTGAACACCTCTCCCATATCTCCTTCTTATAATATTCTGTCTGATTGTACACTGTTTGATAGTATTTACCACATATTATGAATCATTTATATTATTCATCCCACTTTTAAAAACCTAACCACTGTATTTGATTTCTCAATCTGTGCCAAGTTATTGATCCCCTATATATATATATATACACACACACACACAGGGTGACCAAAAAGTTGTGATACCATAACAACATTACAATGTCTAATAAGTCTTAGAGAAATGATGATATTTTGTTTTTTTTAGATAATAGGGTAGTTATCATGACTTTTTGGTCACCCTGTTAACAGTTTGGTCTCTAAGTTGTTATAATAAATCGCAAACTGGAGCGTCAAATGTGCTCTCAATGGCCTAAAAAGTGAGGTTACTTCAGGACAGTGGATTGTTAGCTGCAACACATTGAAACCAGATGCCAGGATCCCAGGCTACAGAAGGATAAAGCCAGCAGCTGCTCAAAACACATGTGGTGCCTCAACTCTGTTTTCCACCAGCTGAAGCTGCACTTGTTCTAACAAGTAGGATTACATTTGTGTTACCTTTGTAAATTAAAGGACACTTTACAGTAGCATTTGTACCAACAACAACAACAAGATTACATTTGTATAGCGCCTTTCACGTCGGGAGGACATCCCAAGGGAAGGTAAACATTTTGTGTACAATAGGAATAGATAACAAGAAGGCATTATGTGGCAATGGTCTCTTTGAGCACGTCAGGTAATATCAATAACTCAATTTGAACCAGATGACAGACTAAAATGAAAGCACCCTATAGGTAACCAGCTCATCTTTATCTTTTACAATTGAATGGCAGTAACACTAAGTATGTAGGGATGTGTATCGAGGCTGTGAGTAGGACAATGTTCTCAAGCATCTCATGCGAGTTGTGGTGTTCCTGATGCTTACCATCCACCGAGTGAAGCGCCAAACCTCTCCTAGTCAGATATTAAATAATCAACTAGTGATTATCCTCGGGGCAGAGGGCAAGGTAAGTGAGGTCTCGTTAAGGTTGAACATTCTTGGCAACGAAATAACAGAATTTAGTCAACTCTCTGTGACAGTCTCCATGATCTGATTCTTGAGCTAGATGGGGCTGCATTACTCCAAGGCACTGTTGGTGACAGACCGACCAGTTTTAAAAGAACTTCAGGAAAACTGGCTTCAACGCTTCTTTGTAAGCTTTACTGTTAAAAGATACATCCCCTTGCACCGCATTCAATTGTAAATGATTAGAAAGAACTGGTCACACTTTTTCAATCATAGGAAAGCTAACAGGCAGTCAAGCAGCCAGTTATCAACATTCACATTTTGCATAGCAGCATGATTCAGCAAAAGACTGCCCTTGTCCTACTTGGCAACGATGAAACAGCTTTGTCTCACGTGGCACTAAAGTGCAGTCAATGTCATAATAACATTTCCTAACCACGTCTGAAACTATTCAAACACCAGTGATAAGTTCATAGAATGCAAACATAATAATAAATAATAATCCTTGTATTTGATATTGTGCTTTTCACGTCTTCTAGACATCTCAAAGCGCTTCACGGAATAGACTGTAAAGTAAATTGACTGTATATTTTGTGGGCAAAACGCAGCAGTCAATTGCACACAGCAGTGTCCCACAAACAGTCGTGGATTGAAGTGACTAAATTATTATTGTTTTATTTTCTTGATGGATTATTATTATCAGGTGTGTGAAGTAAGGAAACTTGCCCAAGTTTTGCCCTGCCGGGAATTGAACCCAGGTCTCTCCCTTGCGAGGCAAGTGCTCTAACCACTGAGCTACAGGACTCCACAACACCTATTCTTTATTTGGAATCACCATAATGGGCAGATCGCAAGCAACAATTGGGGTTTCTGAACTAGTCATGAATCTGAAATAAATCTTGTGACACACAATGGTTAGCATCAGGAGACACTGTCTAGTCTGAGTGCTCTTGAGTGCTGAGTACCAGGGTGGACCCCCTATGTCATGGTGATCAGAATTGTACACAGGTCTGCGTGTATGGCCTGACCAGAACAGTGTACCGCTTGAAGGTTCTATATCGATGGTGTAGTTGAGCGGGGTTTTCAAAATTCTCACAACCCTCTGTGATTTTGTTTTCTGGAATCATGTTCACTGGCTCAGATCTAATATTGAAGAATAAGTCCCTTGTTTTGGATCCTTCTAAACAAGAATAGTCTCCCTTTATCTGGCTTGTCAATTGCCTTCATTATTATAAATACTTCAAGCCGACTCAGCTGTTCCTTCCAGTTTGGCATAAGAGAACACCAAGCGTGGCATCCAGACTGCTTGAGTTAGGCTTGCTGCTTCTCAAAAAGGCTTCACATCAAAGACAGTTATTAATTTCTGCTTCTACCCATCTGAGGCCCCTGGAGCTCAGGACACAACTAACTCCCAGGGGAGGTGTGGTTTTCCATATTACTTTTGCTTGATCAGCCTTGTAATGAACTTTACTGATTCCAATTATATTAATAAGGGATCTTTTATAAGCATAAAAATACATTGGAACAGCTGAGGCTTGTATGCCATTCTACTCTGCAGATGAACTCCTACCCCAGCTGATTTAACCAGTTGCCTCAATAGTTTTGTTTTGCATTCCTCATGATCGTGAACGTAAAAAATTCAGTTTTTTTCTAGCATGAAATTAATTTTCAGGCATGCATTAAGTTTCCTTAAAATTCTGGAAGCTGTTTCACATTGAAAGGCAAAAAGTAGCAGGGAGATAAGAGAGGACCTCGGCCAACCATGTAACAGTCAAAATAAACCGTGTAATTAAATTGTTGTCATGCACATAAAGGAGAGTGTGAAAATGTGCCCAGAGTGCTGGTTATAGGAGGACAGTAAAATGATGCACCAAAGGGTAAAAAAAATCTCCCATAGCATAATGACAAGTGTTTATAATGGGGCTGACATGTAGGGATTTAAATCTCGAGAGTTGTTTTATTTATACAAACATATTAACACTAATTCTTTCTTCAAAGCAAGTGTGTTGGTGTGAGTTAGGTAAAGAGAGATCAAGAGAGGTTTTGAGCTGTTTCGTCACTTGAGAGCAGCCACACATTTGTGTATATGTTTCTAGTTGTAACAGGGGGTATTTTTAATGAAAACTTCAATAAGGCTATATCTTGTAGATGTATAAACACAAAATGTATTCCCTGGGTGAAAGAACAGAAAAAAATAAAATGGGCAATTTCTTTAAACAAACAAGCAAAAAAGGAAGTCTGCTTGATTTAAGGGAAAAAGATTATCCAGAGAAAATGGTCTTAAAAATTAGCATTGATTGATGGGGGGGAGGGACCTAAGCATTTCTTTGTTTCTATGTCCATTTCTTTCAGAAAAAACTGGTCCAATCTTAATGTACAGGAGTCAGCAGTCAATAGATGTAAACAGCCAACAGGATCCACTGTCTACATTTAGAATTGGTTGAATGGGTTCTTTTGGTGCATCAGCAGAAATCAATGAATGCTTGCAGTTAAATCGTTTATCAAAAATTTAAACTTATCATTCACACAGATGCACTTTTAAGCCAAACTCAGAAAAGTAACACTCAAACACCAGTCCGATAACGATAGTGATACGTGACACAGGTTAGAACATCGGGAAGCCTCTTCAGTTTCTTATTACCAGTAATGACTACTATTTAAGCTGTAAACATTGATTCTGAAGTGGGGAAAGAAATGGCAATACAGTCCGTGTTTGTTCATGATACTACATGAGGGGTAGCTGCAATTGACAGGAAACAGGCTGACCAAAGGCAGTGGGATCTGTATACAGTGGGTTGACAAATGAGGCAGACTGATAAGGTTGGGGGAAGGAAAATAAAAAGTATCATAATTTATAAGCTAAGCTAATAGTCTGCTGAATACAACACAAACAAACACAACAACATGTATTTATATAGTGCAATTCCATGACCAATTTCCATACAGGGTAGTGTCTCAGAGGGCTCAGCAGTGCTTGATGCCGAGCCGGGGGGAGGTGGCCCTTGGCACAGTTGAAGAGGAAGGTCTTCAGGTGTGAAGAAGGAGAAGGTAAGGCAGAGGGACTGAAGCAGAGAGTTCCATAGTTTGGGGGCATAGTGGCTGAAAGCACGGCTGCCAGTGGTGGAGCGGAGGGGACGAGGGACATGCAGGAGGCTGCAGCCACCTGAATGAGGATGGTGGACACAACTATCACTGGTGGGATGCAAATATCATGAGGGTGGTTGGAATGTATTGTATTTTAGTTCCATCCAGCATTATCCTGGAAGCAGTTTACAGGAAACTTTTACTAATGATTCAAGAGAAGTAAATGTGGCATCTTTACCATTCTGCCATCTTGCTTTATCACAACATGTAATGGTTGTTTCAAAGGCATCTGTTGATAGCATGTATATCTCTAGTGTATGAGCCTTGATCCTGAGAGGTGGCAGGCTACTTCACTGGAGATGGGAATGGGGGAAAGTCAAATCTATCCCTAACACTCCCACACTCTATCAGGGATTCAAACAATATCTGACAGCTGAAAGGATGGGCTGACAGCTCTTTCCTCAACCTCTGGGATATCCAGTGAGCAAGCAGCTGCTAAATGCGAGTAACCAAATTTTGGGCCATTTATGGACATTCCCTCACTAGGTAGATTAGGTGTATGGGGTTAAGATCAGAAGCATGTTGACTGCAATGCATTTGCCATCTGATGAAGAGCAGTTTCCCCCAGTTTTCACTCCAATTAATTTATCTTCCACAGAGCCCCAAGTCTGTGCCACTGAGAGTGTGTAGCTAAGTAGCTTCAGACCATTGCCCACATTCCTTGTTATCACTTACCTGTTAACAACCTAGCTACAACACTGCGAGCAAGAATATAAATAGCTATGAAAAGGATAAGGTTTCCATCTCAATTTGCATATCTAAAATTATGGCAAGCTATCTAACTGGGGTAGGGGAGGAAGAAAACAGGGTGAATTGCATTCATAGTACACCTGCATGATAGTATACAAATAAGCATGGTACTTAAAGCACAAGGTAAACAAAGGTGTCTTGATTTACCAACGCATCCAGCATTGGGAAAGCGGCCAAGTAGAGGAAAGCTTTCCTGGTTTTACTTCCCACAGAATCATCCACGTGATGTAACTTGTTAATGATGTAGTAGCCCAGATTTGTATGCGCTAGAAAAGAAAACAGGAAAACAGGCCATTGACTAAGAGCCAGTCACACCACCTGACCACTTCTATAGAAGGTCTTGTGATCTTCTCTTTTTGCCTATTCTTCAGTTTTAATCCCTTTTCCTTACCCTTGCATTTACTTACAATCCCTTCAACACAGCAAGCAAACATCAATAAACTTAAAACCATGAGAAGACTCATGTTCCCTTCTACCACACCACCAGTTGTCCTCAAGACTTTCTTGAATACTGCTTTCCCATTTCATAGCACATAGGTTCTGTTCTGTAGATCTGCACACTCATGCCACTCTCTTGTGATGGGAACACATTAGGCATGTATTCTGGTGGAATGAGATCAGAGGCCCAAAGGTTCTTCTTCCACCAAATTAATTTTAGTGTGATAGTGGCATATGATTTGAGAGTGGGAACTACCAGCAGCTTCTAATCAGTCAATTGGTGGAAGTGGCTTAATTGCTACTAGTCATATAAATGGGGCAGCAAGATTTGGTTTCCATTGGGAATGCTTTACATAAATGTAAAATGTCAATGTAATAATAAAAATCCTTGCAATTTGATATAGCTTCCTTCACATCGGTCTCAAAGCACTTCACAGGATTTACTGTGTATTTTGTAGGCGAACATAGAGACGATGTCTCACAAATAGTCATGAAGTGTATGACCAATTTTATTTGAGGGATTGTAGGCCAGGATACATGGAAAATTCCCCTTCTCTTTGAGTATTGCCATGGGATCTTTAACATTCACCTTAGTAGGCAGACAGGACCTTACTTTAATATACTGTATAAAGGATAGCATCTCTAACAATGAAACCCACTCCCAGCACTGCATTCAGGTGTTAGCCTAGACCAAGACGCTCCAACCTTTTGGCTGCCAAGGGACGGATTCCCTATTTGAGAAAGGTCCGTGGACCGCATAAGTAATATTTTGTATCTCCCTTTCAGAAATATAATATTTATACCGCACCTTTTTCTTATTGAAAGGACATCTCAAAGCACTCAATACTGTCTGGGAAGCTGAGCTGGGGTTCGGGAGAGATGGGATGGGGAGGGGAGGAGATGACCGAAAGTGTGGTCAGCGAGTTAGGTCTTGACGTGCCTTGAAAGGGTAGGGAGGGAGCAAATCGGAGGGACTCCAGGAATGGAACTCCAGAGAGCGGGGCAAAATGGCCAATGCTGGGGCAGATGAGGTGGGGGTACATGAGGCAAGCCGGTGTTTGCTCTGCAAAGGGAACGGGCAGGCCGGGAGATCACATAAGTATGGTGGGGAGGGTGGGGGTGTGTGGAATGAAGGACATAGAGACGTTTTTCACTGGGGAAAGAGGAAGCTTTCCGTGAGTAAAACTGCACGTCACTCAGTGTCTGTCCTCAGTACCCCTCGCGGTGGCCGAGGGAGCCTCCCATGGTCTGTCCTGACAGTAAACCACAAAACACTGCCCTCAATTCTCTGCTCTCTCACTCTTTTTGTTTCTTTCTCCCCCTCTCATGTTCTCTCTCTCAATCACTCTCTCCCTCTCTCTCTCAAACACTCTCTCTCTATCCTTCTCTCTCACACACTCTCTTTCACACTCACCTCACATCTTCCCTCTCCTCTCACACTCTCCCCTTCCCTCCCACTCTCTCAATCACTCTCAACCCCCTCTCCCACGCTCTCACACACACTCTCTCTCTCTCTTAATTACTCTGACTCACACCCCTTCTCTCCCACATATGCTCTCTCTATCCCCTTTCACACTCTCTCTCAATCACTCTTTCCCTGCTCTTTTGCACTGTGGATAAGGAAATGCACTTGCCTTCCTGACAGAGTTTAGCAATGGCTGGTATTATTTCCACCCTCCGTGCTGCATACTTCCAACCGCCGGCTCCTGCCTTGGGAGAATGTTCAACCGGAAGGGAGCGGAAGTTGGAAATAGTCTTGGGCCAGGTAAAATCACCGGCCGGGCCGGATGTGGCCCGTGGGCCGCCAGTTGGACCATGCTGGCCTAGACTATACGAGTTCAAAGTCTTGATGCGAAGTTTGAACCCAGAACCTTCTGACTCAGAGTTAAGACTGTTACTAATTGAGCAAGGATAATGCTGTAAGGTTTAGTCTGAACCAACACTTAGGAAATATGCAGATTTCATCACTCCTAATTGAATTATGCAAATATGAATGACAAGAGATATAAGATATAAGCTCTATGACCTGATCACCCCCATCCTCGCCTGGCTCCACTGGCTCCCCATGCCCCAGAAGATAATGTTCAAAATCCCCCTTCTTGCCTTCAAAGCCCTCCACGGCCTTGCTCCTCCCTACTTTTATGACCTGCTAACTCTGTCCACTCCCTCTGCTCAGCAGACTCTGGCCTGCTGCACAACCCCGCCCTTGCTGTCCACAATCTGTCGAGCCTTCAGCCTCTCTGTCTGCACCCTTTGGAACTCCATCCCACAGTCCCTTCACCTTGCTCGCTCCTTTGCCTCCTTCAAGGTTCGTCTCAAGACCACCTTTTTGACCGTGCCTTCGGCCACCCTCCCTACCTCTACCCTCCTCACCCTTTACCCCTCCTGATTCCAACCCCCAACTGGGGTCCAAGTCCCTCACTGTACCATGCCTAGGGACATCCTACTGACCTGAAAGGCTTTTTTTTTGCTTTATGTCCTGCTTCAGGATGTCATTGCACACCTATGATGTGTAGTTCAAACTCTCACAAAATAGTTTTCGGCAACAGTACAGTGATCAGATAGTTGTACAGTTGCTGGTGAAGAACACATTTACAGCCAACCTGCAATATACTTCCAGGAGGCTGCAACTCAACATTCAAATCAACTGGAGGCTATAAAAGGTGTAAAGGCAACACACTGTACAAAAATGTTGAAATTAGCAATCATACTTAATAACTGATCACAAAATGAGTACAGTAATTGCTGTGTACCTAACCTACCAGTTCCCAGTGTAGGTGTGAAGATATAGATTACCTATTAGAACATGAAAGATGGCAGCCACAGTGCCAGCTGTGATCATGCAGAGAACAGCCTTGATCCTGTCTCGCTTGCTGTGCACAAACACCAAGCCCACATTCTTAAAGTCACTCATTGGCCCAGTGAAGAACTTCATGAGGGAGTAGGCCAGTCCATAACTAGCAAGCATCTCAATGGCATCCTCTTTTACAGCTGCTATGCCCCTGTTTAATGCCTGTTCAGAAAAGGCAGGAGGATGGAAAAAAAACAATTAGTATGGAATTCATAAAGCCCACTGAATATTAAAAATACATAACATATGATACTTAGTTGTGCATTTTCTACATCTTGGTGGTTTAAACAATCTAACTAATAAACATTTACTCATCTGAGTGAATCCCTCATTACCTGTAATCTCAAATGCTATATATATTAAATATAAGGATTTTTTGGGTCAACTCGGTGTGACACTTATGGAAACCCAGCACAATGATTAAGAATATCCAAATCAGATTGACAAGAATTCCACGAATGTGTGCCACCCACATGTGGAAATTTCCATGTGTCTGGAACAGAATGAGCACTCTTTCCCTGGAGGGACACACAAAGCTTAACCAATACCAGAGATATTGAGTGCAGGTTAGGGTTGGCAAGAATAAATATGACATAGTTACACCAAACCCTGAAATAAGCATCCCTGGGCTTATTTCACAGGTATGAGTACATGAGATTCAAATTAAAACCCACTATGCTGCAATACTCTATTGGCTTTAATGTAAAAAAATTAAAAAAGAACGGTAAAATCTTGAACAAAATACTGGGTTTAGAAGAATCTTTTTGTTCCCATGGTGCAGGATGAGAAGCAGTTCTCAAACGGGTTAAGAAATACTACTTTATAGCACCATTTGTGAGATCATAAAGCCTTCATTTTCATTTGTGTTAATTTCTATTTTAACCCAAATACCCAACAGGTTTTGAATTGCATCCAAAAGATTCCTATTCACTTAACATCCTCCTGACAAGAAAGTCGCTTTACAAATGTAATTTGTTGTTGTTGATCACACTCAGTGTTATTTCTGCAACTTGCGTTTCTGGTTAGATACCAATTAAAACTAGGCAATTTCAGTCATCTTGATTGGACTTTGTAACGGACCAATATTCCATAGACAGACACCAAGCTTTCACACCTCACACTCAAGTGTGCATTATTCATGTGCAAGCTTCAATAATGCATACCGGAAGGTTATTTAACACTGGGTCAGCATCACAGCCAAGGACATTCTCCTCCTCACCACATGTTGATACCAATGCAAAATCAGCAGCAGTCACAGGTCAGTGATCAGGAGAAGAAACCTTGGCTGATTTTCCCCTCCCTAGCCAGTACACTAAGGCCCCATTTATACTACCTCTTATGAGATCAGCGAACAGCACAAACTACAGATCAAATCTATGACCTTTTCTGGTCTGTGTGAGTCAGTTGCTTCTGCTTACTGAATAAATTCATCAGCGGAGCCTGGAATTCATATTTTAAATTTACTTCTACATTATTTATTGGAACAAAATTCTCTCAGGGAAACCTATTATTCATTGTGGAAGTACTGCACTAATATTGCCCAGGTGATTGATAACATAATAAACTATTGTTTTCAACCACCATGTAGTTCATAAAGCTTATGCAAATATAATGACTCTTATCTCTCTGTCTCTCAGCTCTCTCTGTTTTTGTTTCAGATTCCAGCATCTGCAGTATTTTGTGTTTTGATAATGATTTTCTTCACTGTTATCCATCACACATATGACTTTGCTAAGACCCACCAGTCGTGATGTGGCCAAGCTCCGAAGTTATAGTGGATAAGAGTTTGTTCCTTACGGACCAGGATCTTGCTGTGAATCCCACTCTGTGTTTGCTTGTCTCAACCGGGCTTGGATGAGGAGGTTAAATTGGTCCTGATTTTCCCAAGTAGTGTAAGTGAAAATGAGCCAGGGTTCCCATCCTGGTCCCACCACAGGACCCTCTGCTATGTGTCTGTCCATCAGTGTGACAGTTGGGTGGGGAGAGGTTAGGCTTGGCTGCATCATCCACTATGGTCAAGTCACTTCACTGACACTCACTATCAAGACTCACACATAAACAATAGCTACTTGGCCAGATACCAGATAGCAACCAGCACTGTAAAAATGATCCCACCAAGTTGAGGCAAGTCCAGGAGCAGGGGGGCATATACAAGTGGGGAGAAAAAATAGAAAATTACACATACTACAATTTCTTTCTAGAAACATAACAAGAAGTGTTGAAAGCCATTTTGGCATTTATTTCGGAAAGCAGATGGACCTGGAAACTGAATATTCTTGCCATCACTGAGCACCGTATGCATTATTTGCCACCGTGATTGGGTCCAGTAGGCATGAGCTGTTCTTTCCGAGCTCGGTCAATTTATGGAGATTATATAACAAATTTGAGAAGAAATACTTCAAACCGCTGAAACCTATGACTTTAAAGCACAAGCTTACTGTATCATATAATAACGCAAAGGCATCTGCTCCAACAATCTGCCAGAAGTTAATGTAGATTTAAACACAGGAGGAGCTTGAGGATGAAGGAGAACTTGCGAGTTACAGCAAAAAGAAAGCGTGCATTTGCACTGGGCACCAGTTGAGATTTTTTTTAAAACACACACAGACTCATTTTATGCAAAAGAATTTGATTAATCTACTCCTATCCACCAATGTCAATGTAACCGCAAACCCAAGTTTTTACAAGATTTTGTACTCAAATAATATTAACATCAGAGAAGTTTATATGCATTGAATATTGTTGAAGAAAACTGATCAACTACTCATAATAATGATCCTTGCATTTGATCCCGTCTTCGATATGTCACAAAGCACTTCACAGAATATACGTAAAGTGAAGGTAAAGTGACTGTATAGTTTGTAGGCGAAACATGGCAGCCAATTGCGTGCTCTAACTACTAAGCTACAGGACACCACATCATGCTTTGTAATCAAATTTAAATTAATATCTAATAAAATGATCAATTATTTCATTTTAAAAAGCCTTCTTTTGGAACTGGAATTGACCTTCACAAAATTAAATATGACTGAAAAATAAAAGGTTATGCCGAAGCTTGGTGTTGATGTATGCAGTCTGTATTTAAGGACAAATCAGGTAAAAGAAGCGTTCTCTGAAAATAATACAAAATTCTGCCAATAAAATGAGAGATAAACTTTGCCATGCAAATGTAGCAAATTTCACAATTTTTATAACTTGGCCATTTTATGGCAGAAATATTAAATAATTACATAATAAAAGCTTTAAAACATCACCTCATTTGACAATGTATAACCATTATATTACATTACGCCATTACAGAAAAATCCTATGAAGCACTTTGAGACAGTTTGATGTCATCAAGTGCAAGGATTAATATTGGTCCAATTTGAACATTTTCATGAGGGGTTTATTTATTCCGTAGTACCACCCAATAAATTCAAAGTATGGGCAGGAAGATTAATCAGGAAGGTCAAGATATTGATTTAGTACATAGGCAAGTGGAACAAACCACCAACACTGGAAAGAGGATCTTCAAATGGTTTTGAGAATCATAGAATCATAGAATTGTACAGCACAAAAAGAGGCCATTCGGCCCATCGAGTTTGTGCCGGCTCTTTGAATAGAGCAATTAATGTCAATCCCACTCATCAGCCCTTTCCCCATAACCCTGCAGACCCGTCCTCCTCAAATACCAAAACGCGTTTTTAAAAGTAGTTATCGAATCGGCCTCGACAACCCTTTCAGGCAATGTGTTCCAGATTTGAACAACTCAATAATAATAATAATAATAATAATCCTTGCATTTGATATAGCGCTTTTCACGTCGGGAGGATGTCCCAAAGCGCTTCACAGAACACACTGTGAAGTGAACTGACTGTATATTTGTGGGCAATTGTGGCAGCCAATTGCGCACAGCAATGTCCCACAAACAGTCGTAGATTGAAAATGACCAATTTATTATTGTTTTTGTTTTGGAGGGATTATTATTAGGTGTGTGGAGTAAGGAAACTTGCCCAAGGTTTCGCTCTCTGCCTGGAATTGAACTCAGGTCTCTCACTTGCAAAGCGAGTGCTCTAACCACTGAGCTACAGGACTCCAGGACAGTTTCACGCAGGACTCACTGCGTGAAAAAATTTCTTCTCACCTCCCCTCTGCTTCTTTTGGAGACTATTTTGAATCTGTGACCTTGAGTCAGCGACACACCCACCAGTGGAAACCTCTATTTGGTCTCCTCGTAACCTTCTCTGCTCCAATGAGCCTTTCCTCATAATCAAGGTCCCTCATTCCTGGTACCATCCTCGTAAATCTCCTCTACACCCTTTCCAATGCCTTAACATCCTTCCTATAGTGTGGTGCCCAGAACTGGGCACAGTATTCTAACTGAGGCGTAACCAGTGTTTTATATAGGTTAGTCATAGCCTCCTGACTCTTGTACTCTATGCCCCTATTTATAAAGCCTAGTATCCCATATGCCCTTTTTACAGCCTTATTTACCTGTTCTGCCACCTTCAAAGATTCATTCACCTGCACCCCCAGGTCTCCCTGTTTTTTTACCCCCCTTAAGATTGTATTACCAGCCTGTATTGCCTCCCCTCATTCTTTCTACCAAAATGCATTACCTCGCATTTCTCTACATTGAAACTCATCTGCCATGTGTCAGCCCATTTTACCATTCTGTCTATGTGTTCCTGCAGTTGGCTCCTATCCTTCTCACTGTTTACTACCCTACCTAACTTTGTGTCGCACCTAATAACTCAACAAGTTTCTGTATATTCAAATAATCAAAGATTATTAGGTGATGAGAGCTGTGTTGAAGGAATCTTTGGGAAATTGAATGAGTAGCCTAGATAGGCCAACTGTCTACTAAGTTTGGGGTATTTCATTGGTTTGTGGCAACTCAAATGGAAAATGATAAGGTCACCTAACACCTAAAACAAGACTTTTTTTCCAGTCTTCAACTTCCTTCAGTGGCAATTAGCAATGACATTGCGGTGAGAGCAGCGTGTCGTCACAATTTGAGTGTACTTATTTCCTGGCAACTATTGGGGACTGGGCGCAATGACTATGCAGACAGTATGGAGACACCCCTGAAAATACACATAGCAACCAAAATGTATTTTACATGTTTAAGCTCATAATAGTAATACTTTGTCCTAACGTCAGGATGATTGTTGCAGCTG